CTGCTCTGTTCAGCCAGGTTGCTGCTGGTGAATCACCCGCCGCTGATGAGCCTACGACAGCCTCGCGCGGGTCTCGCTTGGTCAGGACGGTGGTAGTGCCATAAGCCAAAGCGGCCTGGTCAATTCTCATAAGGAATGTAACAGTGTGCCGATCCGCTGTCGGAAGGGGCACTAGCCTCTCTGCTGTCAGGTTGGCCGCGTAACTGTCCCATTTGCCTTGGTACTTCCCGTTGGATCTCATTAGGTGGTGTACCACTCTGGCCACTGCAAGAGGTTGCCCATCCCGTGGGATGTCGGGGGGGGGGGGTGGCCGTTGTTTGGGATCGACTCCCCGTATATCATTACCAGGAAAGGGAGCAGGCTGTCTGTGGGCCACGATCCCTCATCTGCTCTGTCCACTGGGATGCCGTCGCCGTACCGCTGTACGAAGTCGCCCCAACATTTGTAGACGGAATGATTCCATTCCAGCAGGTACTTCACCAAGGAGTGAACGGGGCCGTCAGATTCCACCCCGGAGAGCCTGAGGGTGGATTGGGTTGGTAGGACGGGGCACTCTGGCGGGCCCACGTCGGGGAACGCGGAATTGCTGTCGCGTCCGACCACAGGTTCACTGCTTTCTCCTGCCGCGCTGTTGTGCTCCCTGTCGTTGGGGGTGAGCTCGTCCCTTGGGGCCGATTGCCTTGAGCATGTGTCCTTTGCAGCTGCGTCGACGCCTGCTGGGGAGAGGTGGGCGCTGATGTCGTAGCTGTCCTCCTGCACTTCTGCTGTCGCTGCGCGCTTGGTGGGGGTGATGGGATATACTTTGGAGGAGTGCTGGTCCAGGATGCGGTCGAGCGTGCCAGGCGCTACGTTCCAGATGTGGATGAGGCATCGCCTACAGGCCCAACCTGCGTTCCACTGCTGCTGGGTCCAGAGCGTTGGCATGGTATCCCAAGGCGGAAGCCCTGTCTCATCATTGCGCGGCGCACCTGGCTCAGGGCTCCACATGACGCAGCCGAGCGCAGGGCTGTTCGTTGACCGCAGAAGCAGTGGCGACCCCGCGGGGCAGGTGTCGCACATGGCGGAGTAGGTGCTCGTATGGTGTGAGTCGGGCCCAAATCTGCCGTCGGAGAGCTTGTGGGCTGAGAGGGTGGTGCCGACTGCCCGTGGCCTGTAGACGGGCGGGGTGTTCATGACCAGGTCACGCAGGCAGGAGGGGAACTGCGTAGTGTCCGGTTGCCCGTGCCCGATTGGGAGCCGATCCAGGGGGTGAGAGCGCGGGCTCTCTTTCGGTAGCGGGCCTCATCCAATGTGCGCTTGTACGTCAGTAGGCGCTGCTGAAGCGACTTTTTGGTGGTTAGGTCCTTGTTTTCGACCAGGGGGACCTCGATGCCTCTGCCTTCCAGCGACTTGATCCAGCACAGATCGCACAGTCACCTGCAGCTTCGGCCTTGCAGGTACGCTTGGGCGCGGTTCTTCGCCGGTAGCTCCCTTGTGTCGTCGTCCTCCCAGGTGCCTGCCGAGCCTTGTAACCCGGTATTCGGGCATCCGTCGCAGTCGAAGCTGCCGACCTGCTGCCTGGTAAGGAACCTGTCGTCACTTACCTTGGGTGGGTTGAGTGCTGTACCGGGGGCCGGGGATGCCGGGGAGTCTTCGTCGAGGCGCTTGTTGGACATGGCGATTCCCCCGCCGATGTACTCCAGGTCTGCCATTGTGTCAGGACGGCTGAGCCCATCCTTGGTCCCGCTGAGCTCCTTGTGTAGTGTGCAGATGGAGCAACTTCCCTCGCTCAGGGACTTGATGTCGGCTGGCTTGACGATTGCTTCGAGGACCCTCATGGGGACCTCCAACCTGGTGGGGATACGCGAAGCATCAACAATTCTGACGGATCGCTGAACTGCAGCGGGGCGTGAACTCGAACTCCTTCTTACGCGGGGTCGAAAACGAGGTTGAGTTCATAACCCGTACCGATTCGAACCACTCGTCGGAATTGCGCTGTTCCTACACTCAACCTCCCTCTTGCGGCGCTGTTGCACAAAAGCGGTGGCGGGGTACGCCGCAAGCAACTGGATACCGCAGATTACCATGCCAGCCCAGCCGGTATTGACCCCCGCGTCCCTATCCAATAGCACCATGCGCGCAAACTGGTTGATATCAGACTATCCTGTGGCAAGAACCCGCTGCAAGAAAAAGGCATTACAATCCACACGCGCAGATGTCGAAATCATGCCACACACAACAATTCTGCAAACACATCAACATACAAAACATGTTAAACCCGTGGGGTCCCGTCGAAAGTCTTGCAGATGTTCTGCCCGCTCGAACTTGCTGAAACCCATGGAGCATTCTCGTCCACCACCCGTATCAAACAATACCATGCGGGCCACACGCGCGAGCCGCCAAGCGCGCGTGTTGAGAACGCTTGACAAACAAGTGGGTGCCATCGAAGCTTCTGTCAGATGTATTTGATTTCTGCGCTCGCGCACTTCCTCATCACCCTCATCAGCGCCATCGCGTCGCCGCTGTTGCCATCGTTAACCAGTCGCCATTGCCGCCATCATCAGCACCATCACCTGCATCACCGACACATGGGTATCAGCATCGTCATCGTCATCACCAGCATCGGCGCCGTCATTGGACTGGCCGTCGTCATCGTTACCATCGCTATCACCTTCACTACTATCATCATCGTTGCAGCCGCTCCCGATCTCAATTTGATATCGAGCCTGCTGAGAAACCGAGCGGCATTCAAACGCTCTCACGACAACACGGCCTTGGAGACGCGCTAGGGACTTCCCACCGGCAAGCGCTATCGCGACCGCAGAATGTGTGCCAAACCAGCTGGCCCCTGTGCGTGAGAGCGCGCGCGCGCGCCAGCGCGACAGCAGAGATGCGCTAGCAAATTCCAATCGGCAACAGCAATCGTGGCCGAATGGGTTTTGCCAAGCACGTGGCGGGTGGGAGGGTGGGATGCTTGCGCGAGTGATGGAGTTGTCAACTCATTGACGGCTTGGTGAATTACACCCGATGTATTTCACATCCAGAGTGCAACAATGCGCTGTTTGGGGTCAATTCTGGCCATCCATTTGAAACCTCGACCAACACGTCCGTCGTCGTCCTTCTCCGCGCTAAGTTCTATTCACTCCCCCTGGACCCCCCTCTGTTCCTTCTCACTCCTCCGCGCTATAACTTCTTCATCTTCCTCCCCCTGACCCCCTCACGCCACCCCCTCCACCCTCCTCTCCTTTCGTCGCTCTTCCGTCATCCTTTCCCTCGCTCCTTCCTTCTCCCAACTGCTCGTCTGGCGTGAGCGACGACGACGAACTCCTTTGGGCGCCCTCGCGCGCGACGCTCCGCGCTGGGTGCGCCATCTCGGCGGCGGAGGGGAGGAGGGAGGGTGAGGCGGAGAGGAACTCACAGAATTCATCCGGGTGGGACTCCAGAGTGCAAAGTCAAACCCTACCACTCAGCTCAGGCTCCTGGGAACTGCGTTCTAGGAGGCGGGCGCGAGGAGGGCGGAAGGTGGAGGGAGGCAGAGAAGAGGATGATGATGCTGATGATGATGCTGCTGATGATGATAATGAAAATGATGATGATGCTGATGGTGACGATGATGACGATGATGACGATGACGATGACGATGACGATGATGATGATGATGATGATGATGATGATGATGATGATGATGATGATGATGATGATGATGATGATGATGATGATGATGATGGTGGTGACGATGCTGATGAGGATGATGATGATGATGATGATGATGACATGATGATGCTGATGAAGTTGATGATGATACTGGTGGTAATGATGGTTACTGGTGATGGTGATCCTGAGATGTGCATTGTGATAATGGTACGTGGAGGGAGGGAGGGAGGGACGGGTGGAGGGTGGTGAAATCGGACAGGCCTAGCCGTTCCAGAGCGTTCTGTAACGCTCTCAGAGCGCTCCGGAACGCGCTGGAACGACCGCGGCGCCCGATACATCCTCAAACCCACCGATTCTCAGAGATTTCCGACTTGTATCGGCCCGATGCTGTCTTGATTCTTGACGCCCGAAAACTATCCGGGACACCTGTGGTCTGGGTCAACTCCAATTGGGCCCCCGAGGCAGGAATCCGTAGCTACCCCTGACTGATTCCAGCCCCGATGATTCGGGAAATATGGGCGCCTGCATCATCCAGGACAAATGCGGTCTAGGGTAACTCCGGTTTGGGCCCCCGAGGCGCGAATCTGTAGCTACCCCTGACTGCCCCCGGTCTCGATGACTCGGGTCTCTGAGATTCTGCCTTCGTTTTATGAAGGGGATTGGGCGCGAGTAAATGGGGGACGATCAATGGAGAGGGGGAAAGAAAGATACCTTCTTCGCGCCCTATAAAGGCTTCCTCTTGGGCCCGAAAGGACCCCTTTCAGGGCCACAGAGGGTTCTTTCTACAGCCCTCGCTGCCCCAAACCCATGTATCGCCCCCCCCACCCCCCATTACTAAGAGGCATGCTAGATGGAGTCGGAGTAGATGGTGATGAGCTCGAATGATCGCACCGCATCGCCGATGCATCGGCGATGCATCGGCGATGCATTGGCCATGCATTGGCAATGCATCGGCGACGTCGGCGATGCATCGGCGACGTCGACGTAGAGCACATCGGGCTTCACATCGAGCCGCATCGGCGATGCATCGGCGATGGGGCGCGACCCTCCGACCGCATCTGCTCCGACCCCATCTGGGAGGCCTAGAAGATCGCCGCCCCCCCCCCCCCATGGTTGAGCAGGGACCGACCGCCCCGGCATTCCTATAGCCCTACCACGAAATGCTCTTAGAACCCAAAAATGTTCAAAAAACAAAGACAATTTTCTTAAAACATAAACCCGATGTGTTCAAACAAGACAGACTCCGACAGAAATGTTCTAAGAACATTACGCGGAAACCACAAAAGGTTCTTAGAACATTGTCTGGTAGGGCTATAGGCGAGCCAGAACGCTTCGGCACTGCTTGACCCCACGGCTCCAGCAGGAGGGGGGCTACGCGTCCGGAAAAAGGCCTGGCCAGGCCGCCGCCCCGCGCCGCGCCCGCGCCGCGCCCGGACGGGCGCGCCGCGCGGCAGCGCTCTGCGCGGCAGCGCGGAGCGCCCCTGCGGAAGGCCCCGCGCGGCGGGAACACGCGGAGGGGGTGAGGAAGGCCTCCCCCATCCCCTCCCTCCCAAACTCCCTCCTCCACCCTCTCCCTCCCCACCTCCCTCCTCTACCTCCCTCCGTCTCCTCCGTCCCCTCCTCCCTCCCTTCCCTCCCCTCTCTCCCTTCCCTCCCTCCTCCCTTTCTCCCTCTCTCCCCTCCCTCCCTCCTCCCTTTCTCCCTCTCTCTCTCTCGCCCCGCATCCTCCTTTCTTGCCTCTCGAGACCAGACGCTATCCACCCAGGTCGTGACATATTGGCGTCTTAACAGTACCCCCCCCCCCTATACGGGCGCAGCCATGCCTCCGAAGTCGACTGGCTGCCGCCGCCTGCCCTCCAAACAAGCAGCGCCGCGCAGAAGGAACACCCCTTCATCGCAAGCAGGTGTGTGTGTGTGTGCGTGTGTGCGTGTGTGTGTGTGTGTGTGTGTGTGTGTGTGTGTGTGTGTGTGTGTGTGTGTGTGTGTGTGTGTGTGTGTGTGTGTGTGTGTGTGTGTGTGTTTCGCGTCAGCCGTCAAGAATGGATAAGACCAAGCCACCCTGGCATATAACCTACCTGGCACACCAAAACACTGACGACCTCAAAGGTACCATCGAGAAACACCACGACGACCCCAACAAAAACTAAGCGCCGCCCTGGCGCGCTTGTGTGAACCACGGCATCAGCTACACCCAAGAACATTACGAACGCACCAAGCAAAAACGTAAGAGTACCATCAGCGCCCCTCACCACCAATCCACACGCCCACAAGCTGCAGGTGCTACAACACCATACGTCAGCCTCGACCCTAACCACTGGTCTGTACAAGTCACATCGGCGCGCTCCAAAGGTGCCGACAGGAATACCTACCAAGACGGTATCTCCCTCCGCGGCATCGAAGACGGCGACAAGATCTTTGAACAAGTGTTGGGACAGGGCACCCGCCCAGACGTTGCCATGGCCATCGCGGTGCTCGGCCCTGCCAACCCTACCGTTTGTCGGCGCCACTTCGCTATCCCCGTCCTCAAGCGAGGGCCCAAGACGACCAAACCGGTGCCCACCCACATTGACGGAACGCTCCACCAACTCGGCACCAAGGAGGTCCGATGCAAGCAAAACGGCGCCCAGGTTCAGCTCGGCCCCGCACTCAACGTGGCTTGCATCCGCGCCACGCTGCACGAGACTGACGCTATCGCCGCAGCGCCCTCCCTACACCAGCCCTTCGTGGGCCAGTTCTCGGGCGCAGCCCCGGTCAACGGAGGCCCCGGACAGCAGAGCAACAAAGACGGCGGCTTGGCACAGGACCGTGCCAGGGAAAAGAGTAACATGTCAAAGAAGGACGACAAACGCTGCCAGGTAGACAGCGATCTACAAGACTCGTTCACAACCCTCTTTCACCGCCAATTCCCCCGTTGTGAAGATCCTTGGGCCCTGCATAGCCTTCGGGCGCTTCGGTTCCGCGCTCGGCAGACAGCCCCTAACAACCACTTTCGGCGTAGCACCATGACACGCCGTCAAAGTTCTACGCGCCTCAGGGCTCACGGGGGCCACGCATGCACGGAGCAACCTCGGCGCCGCGACGCGTGCCATGGACTAGTACCAGACAATATGGTACCCAGATTTCCACGCAGGAACGATAGCCGACGCCTGCGCTACCTCCACCGAACTGGCAGGATACGACGACGCCGCGAAGCGCGGGAAAACAAATGCCCTCGGCATCCGAACGCTGCGCGATTCACTCATCGCTCGGAACGTTGCCGTGCGAGTGCGCGGGGCTGACGGGTCACTTGCTGCCAACCGCTAAAAGATTATCGGCGTCGAATCCACGTGCCGTTATCGCCCAGGTCAGCAAAGTGCTTGCGGCCCTCAAATGGACATGTAAAACATAACGCACGGCCTGGGACGGGAAAGCGGCGTCCCATGTCGCCCTCGTCGTCGCCCTCGCCCATGGACCACCCCCGACAAACCACGGTAACGGTCTAACAGAGCACCGCCCCATGGACTACCGCCTAAGCACCCCTCGCCGACGCTGCCACCAAAAAATGCACCACCAAATGGCGATGCCCACTACAGTTCACGGCGTTCATGCCCATGAGTCCCCCTTAGGGAAGCGACCCCAGCCCTTCCCTCAGACTCTTGCCGAGAAAGCAGCTAACCGCTTCTATCTCCACGACCCCATGACAGCCCCTGCCCCCAGCGGCAAAAGGCACAGCCACAAAGCAGCCCCCCATCACACGGTCTCGACCGCTTAGCGCCACGCGGCCCAGATCCAACATCGCCACACGCCACGCGCGCTTTGCTGCCGCTGTGGAAGGGGGCCACATCGGCTCAATGAGAAATCACCCACAAGGCTCTGCTGACACCCCCGTGCCCTTAGACATGGACTCCGTGGGCGCAATTCCTCCCCGTGAAAAAAACAAAAAAAACGAACAACGTAACCAACCGTCAAAGGCGCTACCCCTTCCCGCTCCACGGACACCCCTCACGGGGACCAACGCACCTCCCCTGCCCAACGCGCGAGGAGGACCGCAGGGGCGCTTACTCTGAGGACCCCAGAGTGGACTTCCACGAGTTTGGATCGTGCAGCGACCTTCCAGACGCTGCGGCTGTCCGACTGGAACAGATGGAATGTGCTCCTGACCAGCTGGCCCAACAAGGCCACGGCCACCGAGGCAACGTCGCGCAATTAGTGGTGTCCCAGTCCAACGACCTCCACCAATTTCTGGTAGCCCCCCAGACGGGCGGGCCCAACACCACCCCGCCGCCAGCGACCGTCGCCCCACCGCCCGAGAATGACAAGGTCGCCGATGACTCCAGACCGATACCTACCCACAATGCCGAGGTAGTAGCCGCCCCCCCAGCCGCAGTCGTAGCTGCCACTGCGGGGGCCGCCAGAAAACGCAAGGGCAAGAACGAAAGGATTCCCAGCATTGACGGGGCCTCCGGGGGTCTGCCTCGACCCCGGAGGAAACCCGCTGCGAGGAACTCCCCCCCCCCCCCATGCATCCACAACGTCATGCGCGCGCGCCGCGCTGCGCGCGTCAGCGCGCGAGGGGGGCGCAGGCAGGGCGACGAGGACTCCGAGCGTTCTGGCACTGCCCGCAGCGTTTGGCCAAGAAGGCCCCGCAAGAGCGGCCGGCGGCGCCTGTCGGGCGCGAGGGCGCCCGACCCGAAGCGGCGCCCCGCTCCCCGGCGGGAGTTCAGGCGCGAGCCATCGCGGCTGCTACGTCGACCAAGTCAAACCTTGCCGCGCAGACGCGGACGCATAATTTGACAAATTTCACCCCGCGGCTACCATTTTGGCACCGCCACTTTCGTGTCACAACGCAGCTGAAGAGGCCCGGCATCTAAACTCGCTCACATGCGCGGCCGACCCTACCCAGCCTCGAGAGAGCGAGCGCAATCCTGAACCTAAGAACCGGCGCGCGCGCAAGAATCACAACCTCCACGGGTGCCAAGCCCGACGCCGACAACACTCCCGCCTTGCACCTGGCCAGTCGGCAACGCGCACAGCGACGGCACGTCCGCCCAACAGGGCGCGCGACGCCACGCCTGCTCTCACAACTCACAAACAGAATACACGCAAAGAGGTCAACGCCAAAAATTCCTCGATAACGCACGCGACCCTCGCTGGGCTCTGCTCGCACTTCGCGGCCGCTCGAAGCCCATGGCAGTGGCCTGGGCCCCGGGCGACGATGGCATCGACGTGGTGGCGGCGTGGCTTGGCGACTGCCTTGCCTGCGTTTCCATGGTCTTACACTTTCCCCTGTTCGACCGGACGTTAGCCGACCTACCCGCCCCCCTCGCGGAGCTCGAGCGGGCTTGCGCAGCAGTTGGCATCTGCGCGCAGACCCAGCTGGATCGGCGGCGCACCGCCGTAGCGCCGAGCCAGCTAACGGGCCAGGCTCGGATCGAGCGTTCCCAAATTCTCTTTATGGAACACTACTGCGCGCGAGCCTAATTGGCGGGGTTGCAAGCTTGCGCGGCCCCACCCCCCCGAGCTACATGCCGGGAGCGCGCGCCCTTTTTCCCGCGAGGCATCCCGCCCCCAAACGCGCCCGCGCTCGCCGAGCTGCGTCGCGCCACCCCACCCCAACCACGCGAGGCGATCCCCCCTGCTGGGATGGGCCCCGCGCCCAACGCAAAGGCCGACCCGGCGCGCGCGGCGGCCAGCAGCGCGGGCGTCGGGCCGCTTCTCGCAGGCGCGCCCCCGGGCCCTGGCTAGCCGGAAGCCCCGCGCGCCGAGCAGATGCACGCAGGATCCAAAACGGCGCGCGCGCGCAGGCAGACGGGCACGACGTCGCGCCACGCAACGCATCATCCAGTGGAGCGGGCAAGCGGAGGCGCACCCACCGATTGCCACCAAACCGCCGCGGCGGGGCGCAACAGCCGCCCCCCCTGACTGCAGGACACATCCTCAGACAGCTAGGGGGAAGTCGACCCGCGCCCTAGCGCGGCTGGGTCTTCGGATGCACCCCCGACAGCTGGGTCAGCGGATCACCGGGGCCCCTACTACTGCGCGGCGATCTTCCTCCCAGCCACCACGGCGCTGGAAGACCTTGCTGCCGCGTTCATCTGAGACCTGCCCCGCTGGGCCTTGAAATTTGACAAAAGGCAAACCGCTGTAAACTACATGGGCCACCGCGCGGATGTTTCTCGCGCTCTTGCGACGACCGCATCTAGCGCGCCACCGTAAACTACGCCATGACCAGACCATGCGCCATTGGCCCAACACCTGGCTGCGCCAGCCTACAAACGCCCCGAGCCAGCATGCTGCTCTGACGTCAAAAAAAAAAAAAAACACGCCAGGCCCACGGTGGTTCCCGCGCCCCCCCCCCCCGAGACGACGCCGAGAGCAACCGCGCGAGGGACAGCGCCCGCGCACCACAGGGCCCATCTTCAGGAGGCGACCGTCAGCGAGGCACGACGCGCCAAGGCCTACTCAACTTCAACTTCGCGCATTGGTTTGGAGCTGACAACCC